GGGGCGGGGGGGGAGGGGGGCAGAGCGGAGGCAGCGACCGACTGCGTTAGCTCTAAGTTACCATTGCAGCCGTCTCCGTGCGGGTCGGACCGGAGGTTCAAGGGTTGGATTCTCGACGGTGGCTAGCAGAACTGTAGCGGCCGGCTGCTCCGATAGTTTTCTGGCGGCGCGCGTTCCTTCATTCGTCTACCTTGTCCTATACTCATTTACCCTTACAGGCACTACGCCGCCACACATGCTGGGAGACGGGTCGGGAGGTTAAAGACTTTCCGGCCGAAGAGTACAACTAATCGCGGGCACTCCTGGGGAAGCAAGAAGCGTTCGTTCTACAACTTCCGGCAGAGCCATCTTATTTTATGTATTGAATCGTATGGGTCTTTGTTCATTCGGCCTATCCCGTGGAAATAACAGGATATTGGGAATGAAATTGGGAATTGAAATCGAACTTCTGTTAGAATATCAAATTTTTTTCTGCTCATTTCGTGCATCAATTCATGTTTTCATGTATAATTCTTTCTTAATTATTTCAATTGAAAATTTACGTTTTCCCATCATCTTACTTGACGTTTTAAATCCCAATAATTTCATTTTGGGACAAAGTACGGTAGAAATGCATTTAATTCAAAAAAATGTACATTATGTTTAAAAATATATTATTGTACGTGTAGCATTATATGGTGTTATAATTTAAATTATTTAAATACACAAAAAATAAATTAGTACCAAAAATTCTTATATTTGAATATGCGAGAAAATCTCAAGCTTTATCTACTTCATTCCACTTAACATCATTTAATATTATTATTATTATTATTATTATTATTATTATTATTATTGTTGTTGTTGTTGTTGTTGTTGTTATTATTATTATTATATTAGATAATCGTTACATATATTGGTTAATAGTTATTATTATTTTAAAAAACTCATAATTTGAATATTGTCACAATATGAATATCTATTTTTAAAAGTGTAGGTTAACAAACATGAAAAAATTTAACAAATGAAGTACATGGGTTCCTTCTCCGTTTTCGGTGCTTGGAGTACGTTTGGTCGCAATGGTGACGGTACATGTTTTTCAAATAGAACAAATATGCAATAAACACAACTTGATGTACAATCAACTGGCAGCAGCAAAACAATAATTGTCTTCTAAACATGAAAAAAAGACTGATATAAACAAAAAATTGCCAAACGAAAATATTATATATTACATTTTTAAGTGGTACCCACATGCTGCATAATTTACATTATGACAACTTATTAATCACAATTAATGCATTGTCAAATACCTGAGTGAACTGCAAGTAATACTTTGGTAAAAATATTTGTTTTATTTCACACTCTAATTTAAAAAGATGTTTTTCAATTTCAATTTTAAAATTATTTAATCAAGAACACCATAAACAAATTTTAATCATTCATAAACTTATGGCTTAGTTTGTAATCTCTTATTATTCATGGAAAATAATTTTCTATTGAAAACAAAAAGGTTTTATAACTAGTATCTCATTATAACTAGTATCTCATTAAACAAATTGCGACTAGATCACGTAATGTTATTAAAATCTTTATATTGTATCAATTCTAAAATAACTGCCACATTAAAACACAACCATTTATTGGATTTATTTTTGTGTGAGTACATTTCTATTGATAATTTACATAACAGAAAATTTAGATTTCGAGTTGACATCGAAATTTACTGTCAAAATATCCTTCGTATGGTATTGCACTAGATTAATTATTTTCGTACCTTAATCAACGCTCTGAGAGAGTAGAATGATGAAATCATGGGTCATTTACTCACCTTTACGATATAATCATCATCATTCCTATTGCACATGGGGTTTAGCAGGGTTCGACTTTAAGCTCGATTATCTTTCTACTATACGTAAAGGATTTGCCCTCGACTCTTCGAAACCAAAGAACAATTCTGTTTGCAGATGAATGGAATATTATTCACAATAAAGAAATCATAGTACAATATAATATTATTCATATTGGTTCCATAATAAAAAAAACAGTGTAAGTTTAAGTGCCAAGTATTTTTCTGAAGCATAACTGCTCTATACAATTTGAGGCTGCATTGAGCATCAGAAAGGAAATTAATATTGATTTCAATTTTAATTTTTTTATTGTTGATTTCTATGATATTTGATGTACTAGCTACCACTTGGACTGCATATTGTATATTCCTCTAACAAGAATTGTACATTATTTTCTGGGTCAATGACCCTCATCACTATCACGTTTTGCCCTCCATGTCCTCCAATGATAGAAAGCTGAAAGTCACAATGGGATAATGACGAAGATCTGGAAGTTATCTTCCTTTGCAAGTTGTTTTATTACACGTAAATGACCATTTTCGTATTAATTCTTGCCAAAAAGGCGCATTTCTAGCTCTATTCTTAATTCAATTTAATATGTAAGCTATATTGAGTTAGTGCTGATTCCCCCAGAGCTCAAAAGTCGTGCACATAGTTCTCTTCTCCCCATAGAACGTCATCCAGTTTTGAACTTCATTATAGTTTAATTAATGAATTGATAAAGCAATTTATTAATTAATAAAGCAAAGGACGCAATAGATGGTATTCGTCCCAGGTCCAGAACTGTCCCATCACAGACTATTTAATTGTAAAGAAATATCCTAATTCTCCTAAGTCTTCTAATTAACTTTGGAGTTTGGCGCTAATTGCTTATTTTACACCAACAATCAACTTATATTCTAATATTCGTTATTTTTTTCGAAACAAACCTGCATAATTTGCATATTAATATTTGAGATATTTACTATCAAAATAATATCATTCCATTATTTCCGTAAATTAGTTGTTTTGCATTTTTGCCAAACTTTCAGGATGCTTCATAACCTCAAGAAGGGATATTGTTCACATGCAGTTTATTGACACCCAAAAATGTCGCGTTTAAACATATGGATGCGAGAAGAGTTTTGTCTCCCTTGTAAAGTTACCGCAAAAAATATCTCGCTTTGATAACAAACGCTCTACATTATAACGCCTTTGTACTGCAATTACAATTACATTGGTATTATTTCCCTTATGATCATTTTCATTAATTGACATAGTTAGGCACACCACCGTTCGGATAGAGCTCCCGTTCTAATTGAAATATACGAATGATAAATGTTTACATTTAAAAAACGCAATCTCTTGTTTTCCCATGCAGGATTTTGTGCTCTGAAAATGGCTCCTCTTTGCAGTTGCACGTGAATAAAGCGCAATTTTGTCTATTTTGAGGAGTAAAGCGACCTTAGGAGGACTGGGAAGTGTGTATTGCGGTAACCGTAATCAAGTCCCGTCTTTAGGATGAGGAGAAAGCAGGTGACCCGTGGAGCGGCGGTCTCACTGTCTGTCTACAATTGTTCAGGCGGGGTTTCACCCTCATCCAATAAAGTGCGTGTCCGTGGGATCTTTCCGCCTGCCTTTCTTTCTGTCATCACTCTATCATCATTCACACACCACCGCCCTCCCGCAGCATTACCATCATCCCTATCTAAGAGTGTCCCAATGTGTTGACACGCCCACAAAGAAGGAGAATGGAAGGATAGAAAAATAAATATTATGAGATACAAGATGTACTACCGTAATACTGATTAATGATGACCTAACGCTAAATATAGTTTTGAGATAACCGTGTTGGATTTCACTAATTTTCAAATTCAGGGATCACACATTATCATAATAGTTGATGGGTTAAAGAGTAGATATTACTGAAAGCTTTACCTTAATTTTAATATAATAATCATAAAAAATTGTAAAAACTATGTGTGACATGTTGCGGAGAAGTTTAATGTGCCCACGGTTGCGTGAAATCAACCCCCTCTCTTATGATATATATTGTTGAATTATAAACCAACGTGCATGGTGGAGAATATTTGAAAACTAGAAATTGTTGCTCCAGAGTAATAAGAGGCGTATTTGCATCGATAAAGGAACTATTTAATTTTACTATACTAGATTTTGTTGTATTGCTAAGAAAATTGCAACCAACAAACCCGGCTCTATTCCTTCGACTACGGACAAAAGGAGAACCCTAACAAAACGTGCGCATAGTGGAGATATATTTATGTCCAATAATAATTTTAATACACCGTGCGTGAAACACCGTATTTATTATTATTATTATTATTATTATTATTATTATTATTATTATTATTATTATTATTATTATTAATTGCTATTATTTTATAATTGCAATATTTTCTCTCAACTATTTTCGCTGGTAAAAACACTCACATTCCCCAGAGTTGTTTTGGGAACAGCTTCCGTCTAGGAATAGAAGTTTATCTTATATCTGGACTTAAAACATTTTTTATGATATGGGCTGGTTGCTACAGAACTGCGTGCTGTCCCATGTTCAGAACTTTTTTTTAGTAGTTGAAGTTCTGATAAGTTTTTTGTCTCCCTTCCCTTTTCTTCTTCTTCTCCTCCTTCTTCTTCTTCTTCTTCTTCTTCTTCTTCTTATTATTATTATTATTATTATTATTATTATTATTATTATTATTATTAATATTAATATTATTATTAATATTAATATTATTATTAATATTAATATTATTATTAGTATTATTATTAATATTATTATTATTATTATTATTATAAAATAATAGCCATAACCAAAAACGAGTATTGTTGGAGTTATACCCGTTATAATCCGTGCACTGAATGCGGTGCGAGGTGAGCTGTCGCCTGTTGCAGACGGGTCGGAGGTGAAGGTGGGCGAGTTCAACGGCGTGACGGAGCAGCTGGACCTGACCCGCGGCCACGCCATCCAGTGGCCCCACGGCCGCCACCCGCCCAAGGACCGCACCCTCAAGGTGTCGCAGGTGTCGCACGTCAACATCACCATCTACTCGCTGCTGGCGTCGGCCGCGTCGCTCGGCATCATCATGGCCATCACCTTCCTCTCCATCAACATCTCGTACCGCAACCAACGGTGAGTGCGACGCTAGCTCGCTAGTTTTCCGTGGTTTCTCCAATCAACACCAGGCGAATGCCGGAGCACTACCCTAACAGACGGGCCGCGGACCGTGCGCAATCTTTCCTACCTTCCTTGTCCTATCCTTACACTTTACACACACACTAGCATGCACCTTACTACCACGCAAGCCGGGAGACAGATCTGGAGCTCACCACCCGTCTGGGGTGGTGCCCCGTTGGTGAAGATACCGTAAAGCCCTAGATTTCGAGTCCCGACGGTGATGGAGTTTTCAACACTAGTTAGCAAGGTGGAATTCAGTCGCTGGCTGGAGGAGAGTTCTAGCTGCCGGCTGCCCTGATGAGTAGTCTTCAGTGAATTCTTCGGTCAATACCGGGTAAATCCTATTAAATGGACCACGGACCGGGCGCGATCTTTTATTCATGTTCCATGACCTAACCACTCCCCTTTCACGCGCCCAATGCACTACACTACCACACATGGCCGGAGACTAGTCGGGAGTTTAGGCCTTCTCTGACTGGAGCCGAGTTCCCCTTGGTAGAGACTCGAAGGTTGGAATCCTCCGCAAACGTTTAGGTTGCCGCTGGACCTCCCCTTTCAGCGGGGAAGGGGCCCGCGTCCTTCCCGGATGTGCTTCTCGCGCTGTGGAGGTGTGGAGGTGTGGAGCTGTGGTCGATGTCGTAGTGAAGGCTCGCTGCCTCGGTCGCGCACAGCGCGTACATCCAGCCTGGCTATCCCAAAAGCGTGAGCTGTCCACATTTAAACTTCCGCCACATACAACACATTCCCTTCGCTGTCAGGACTAATGATCATAACAGTGGACTTGCCCGGAAACAACAAACTGTCCCCCATTGGCCGGACTGGCGGTGCATGTGCATGAGGCATGTGCGCCCTGCACGCGTTTATCAAGGATTGTGTAACATCAACGTGAATCCTTCCCCTAATTATCAATTACTGCGATGGGCCCACGGGCCTCCGCGGATAGCGGCATCTAGGTGCAACCAGTCTCGGTACCACAAAACTGGTCCAAGCACCGACTCGAAGGCTCTTGCGGTACATTGTTTTCGAAAATACGAAACCCACACAGGCTTGCGAGCTACGTCGACGCTTAGGTTGGGAAGTCAAGGTCACGTGGTAAAGGGGTTCTGCTTAGATCAACTGCTCATCCGAGTGCAGACGTGCATGAACACCGCTGCGAGGGACGAAAAGAGAGAGTGTTCAAAATTTTGAAAATTACGAATATTCAAAAATACAAAATGTACCACTTTTAGTGCATTCGATTACAGAGCGAACCGTGCTGTATGAGTCAAGCTGCTCCCCATCCATCTCTGGATACCGAAATTGGGCAAAACATTTTCGTAGCAGGTTTTCTTTGTGTTTCGCGACACACCCCTCAATGCACAGCTGGTCCATCAGCATATGTATCATACTAATCATTCTATGCTAATTGTAACGTACTTAATTACTACATAAACGTTAGTGCACAAACGTTTGAATGAAATGTTTTGGAAGCAACGAAAGAAAGACATTTGTTCGAGTTTTGTCGGTTATTGAATAAGTTGAGACGAGCAAGTAGACTGTTGGTGTGGAATGATGTTTTGACCCTCCCCAAACATTCCTCAGATAGCTCACAAATCGCAAATTGGTCGAGGTTCTCTCCGAAAATTCTCTCAAGACTGTGGTAGAGTTGTTAGTGCCTGCAGTGGCGGTCGGGGTGCGACTCTACTCCCACGTACGGGTGCTGAACAATGCAGTTGTCTTGGATGGGCAGGCGTCGTAGTTACGCAAGCAGCGCGGCTTGCAGACTCCAACGTTGGAACGATGGGGAATTACGGCAAATTCCACCTGGATAGCGGTGTATCCATGTATTAGGGCATGTTAAGAATTGTGCAGTGCATTGTTGAAACGGCATGCGTTGCTGATGCCAGAATGTTAAGTTCTGCAATTGCTATTACGTGCAACTATGGTTATTATGATACGTGATAGTGTGTACATGTTAACATATCACGAGCAGAGGAAGTTCATATTTGATAACAGTTTATAACTAGTATGAAAAATACTGATATAAGTTTCACCATCTGGTAATTTAATAGAATATTACATTCAAAAATTAATATAAATCACACTGGCAAATCAAGAACAAAGTACCAAACATATTTTCTGCCTTATTTGTATGCCGAAGGCAAGTTATTTAGTGAAAGTTAATGTGAAACACATTGAGCGAATAGGCATCAACGCTGCACTCGCGTTACATATTACACAATGTATAATACACGCAATTTAATAGAATATTGCACTCGTGGATATCACTGGCAGATTAAGAACGATACAGAACATATTAGTTGCACTTGCGTATTGCACTGGCAGATTAAGAACAAAAGTACAGAACACATTGTGCCTTATTTGTATGCCGGAAAGCAAATTATTTAGTGAAAGTTGATGTGAAACACAGGGCGAATCGGCAACATTGCACTCGCGTCACACATTGAAAACTGACTAGTAGTCAGTCGAAAATAAAAAGATTTGCAGCGCGCATCGCGGACACGTCTGGTCGGGCGAGTGCCAAGGAAGCAACTCACTTCTTCTGTTAAGAAGCCTTTCCTCCGCAACGGTTAGGTCTGTTGCGCCAGCGCCCTCCGGAAATGCAGCTCACGCGATTGTTACGCCACAATCGCGGAGTGGCGAGAGCGCAACAGGCAGTGCAAAGCGAGTGGTAGATAGAAACTAGTAATACATTTTATTATTGTACAAAAACCTGATCAAGGCGTGTACTGAACATTAAATGAATAATAGTAAATTAGTTATTATTATAATTAGTTTGTTTGCTCTAACAGTTATTTTCAATATGAATTCATGGCAAATTACAAGAATATTATAGTGTTGAAAAATAATTTATATTACAAAACAAGAAAAATAATTTTGTTTACGAATAAGCAATTAAATATGGATATACAAAAATATATTCTTAAGTATGAATATTTAAACTGGAAAACTATTATGCTTATTATATGCTTGAGCATGCAATGAGTACAAATTCTGTTTATGGAATCACTGCCTACAGTTTTGCTTACATGTTTTAATTTTAATTCAATCAGCTGCGTATATTATAACACAATTTGCGAGCCTTATTTTTATTTTAACAAATTTTATTTCCTGGGTACTTGTGAAATCATTCTTTTGAATGCTTTGACTGTTTTATTACTTTATTGAATCTATTTGCATATCCATCTATTTTTTAAACACTCATTATTTTATACATGTTAAATTTATTAAAACATTAAACGTTCACATCACACAATGTTATTTTAAAATGTGATGTGTACGATTAATATAACTTAACCTTGGTGTACTGAAACATTGACATCAGCCGTGCCTGTGGCCCTCTCTAATGATAACCGGCGGTCGCGCGCTTGTACCGTCACCTGCCTCTCAAGTCCCGTTCGGGTGTTTTCTTCACCTTGCTCCTCGCTTGTACGTCGGCCGGCTCCGCCTACCTCCACCCGGGACATCCGCCCCGTGGGCTCACGACCTTGGCCTACTTTTAGCCGTGCTGTAGCCTCATTCCTCTGCAAACCGGCCGTCTGCGATGCCGCTCTTCTTTCGCCCTCCACCACATCCCGCCTGAATATGCTCCCGAATTGTTTCTCTGTATGCCCGACACCAGACATAATATTAGCCTCTTCGTTCTTCTACCTCTCGATAAACGACGTATTTCGTCCCTGGCTTTCTCCACAATGCACTCTCACTTGTGTGCAGGTCTCCTACAGTCTCAAAGCAATTCAATAATTTACTTCGCGGCCGCTATTTCGCGTCATACTCGTTTACTTATGAACTTTTTACAGAGTAAGAATCACTCTCTTATTCACAGTTCTAATATGTAGCTTTATCTCCCTTTTCTAACTACTCTCTTCACGATCACTTACTTTCACATACTTGCAAAGACGGCGTCTATCACTCCTACTCCACGCTCCGGGAACCGTACAATCGACCAGCTCGACGACTTTCTGAAATCATTTCTGGAAAGCTATCCATTGTTTATGATTTCTCGCTTAAGCAACTCTGCTCCTTCACAAAATTCTCCGTATTGCGCAGGTACATCAAGATGTCGAGTCCGTACCTCAACAACCTCATCATCATCGGCTGCATGCTGACATACAGCAGCGTCATTTTCCTGGGCCTGGACTCGACGCTGACGAGCGTGGAATCGTTCCCGTATATCTGCACGGCGCGCGCCTGGCTGCTCATGGCAGGCTTCTCGCTCGCCTTCGGCTCCATGTTCTCCAAGACGTGGCGCGTGCACTCCATCTTCACTGACGTCAAGCTCAACAAGAAGGTATTGCAGGCGCCTCCCCACGCTCTCCCTCACGCTCTACCTCACGCTCACCCTCGCTCCCCCCTCACGCTCTCCCTCGCGCTCTCCCTC